TGATATCTTGCTCAAAGACAGTTGCTTAGGCTGCACATCCCAAATCCAAGTAAAGGAGTATTGCTGACGCTGCTGTGCTAGATGTCTTTTTCACAATCAGAATACCTTTATTAGTCCCAAAGAGGGGACATTTGCATCTTTACAGCAGAAAAGAGCCACAGACAGCTTAATGTTAATGTTAAAAAAAGTACCAAGTTAAAATACTTTTTGTTGTTGTTGTTGACTTAACCAAATTCACGTCGATATTTACAGTAATGATGTGCTGCATGAACCATGGCATGAACGTATCCTTGATATGCTAGATGTCTTTTTTTGTATGTAAACAAATTATTGTAGATGTTTAATGATGTGCTGCATGGCATTGGTAGTAATTCTGGGTCACTATAAGGCTAGTAAGCTAGTTAGCTATTACTGTATCACAGCAGGGATGTTGCATCTGACGGAATGTCTAATTTCAAGGAATGATAAAATAGTGTGGATATCCAGTAAGCGTGGAACAGAAACTACTTCTATTTCCCGATTTCTTACAACTGTAAAGTCCAAACAGTTGGTTCATTCATTCTTCTCTCTTTATGAGCTTCATTTCGAATCCAGATTTTTTGAATAAAACCAGCCAGGCACAAGAACGTTCAAGAATAGCGAACATTAGCTGTACAGGCCATTTCCTGCTCTAATGGTCGGTTGGCTGTTCACTCGGATGGTTGCACTCCAATTCATGTTTTTTTCTCACACTCTATATTTCCAAAGCTGAACACCAGGAAGACAAAGATTGGAAATATTTGACAGGAAAGTACTGTAATGGTGTACAGATGCATAATCTACAGCCGAATAAGTCTGCTAAATGTCAAAGTCTAGATTCTACAGTTCCAGTTCTTGAGAATTATATTTAGGGTTTGTTTAGTATTTGTTCAAACACAGTCCTAACAGCAACCATGAACATATTAGAAAATGGCAGAATTGAGTGAAGTTTATATGAAAGATATCAGCACTCTTCTGACACATGTTGACCCAATCTGTTGCACTGGCCTCAGCCTCCAGCCTATCCAGCCATAAACGACTTGCCATGACAGCAGATTATTGTTCATTTAACAGAAACACAGACTGGACTGCCTCACCTTTGACGAATGTAACCAGCACTTGACCTACTTCGGACTGGCTTGATCATCAGAGAGAATTGGAAGCTGACAGCTGGCACATGGGAACTATTAAACATTGCACCTCCAAGTGCTTCTCCAAAAAACATCAGTATTTTATGTTATTCCACTCATATTTAAGTTTTTGTTTCAAACAGAGCTGTCACCATGGGAGCCGCTGAGGTTAAATGCGTTGAATGTGTCTGCATGTGGAAAAAAGTTTAAGCCCAAATTTGGGCTGCAGCTTTGTTTTCTATCACTTGTGTTGTTGCAAATATTTTCCTTCCAAAAACCATTTGGCCTTCAGCAGAACCCATTTCAGCTCGCCAAATTCATAACAAGTGCTAATTCAATAGTGGTGAAGATAACAGGGCTATTTATTATTATAATCTGGCAGTCAGTGGCTGTATCTGGTTTGGACTACAACATCTGATTCAGTGGTACAGATCTTTTATTTTCCTTTGTTCTTGTTGTTTTTCACTTTAACTTAATTTAAACAAGTTTACCATCCTTCTGCAAAGACAGTCCTAAAGTGTTGCAACTGTTAGTTTGCTTTTATAGATACATTTAATCTTTGATATATTTGTTTGCAGATACATACAGATAAGCATTAGGCATATAATAATCTGGGATATTTTGAAGAAAAATAAAACAATCACAAACTCCAACAAGAACATTGCAATCTGCTGGACGATTGAATATCACCATCAACTGAGAAATGTTCCTTCCAAAACTTGAGGATATACAAGTTTATAACTATAATTAGCGGGTTTCGGAATAAAGATTGTATTTTGCTTCGATTGTATACAATATGACTGGAAGAAAAGATTGAGTAGCATGAATTGAGCAGTGAAATTATAAAAGATGATTCATAAAGTAATCAAAACATAGAGACATTTCCCCTTCAAAAAAGGCAGAAAGAGGCAATCGTCTCCGACTGAGAGTGAACACATTGATTTTTTTCCCCTTGCAATTCTGCCAGTTGATATGCAGCACACAGCGTACAATGTAAGGTTCATCTTATTGCATGCACATGAAAGGACAAATGGAGGCCATTTGTTTTCATCAGGGTTTATGAATCCAGAAGTTCCTTTTTTAAGACCTCTTTCGGACTGCATTTGAATTATTATGCATGTATTTATCGCTGACACCTGCTCACAGTATTTGTGAAATGTGAAAAATCTCAAATGCTGCCCAGATCTTGTAGGAACACGTTAGTATCATTTTTCCCAGATGTTATAAAGTCAAGATCACCACTCTTTGCTTTGCAAAGGAACCAAACCTTTGTCTAACTAAAGAAAAATCAGACAAACGTTGCCTCTAACACTGTATTTATCCTCAGTTATGGGAAAGGTATGCAGCTAATTGGACATTTACAGCAAGTAAAGCTAAGTTGAACAAACTACATGAATTGTGTGTGGTACTACTACTTGTGTATATATTTTTGCTTCGATTGGTTTCGAGTCTCAGGGGTTGTGGTGAGCAGGATCAGGTGCCCAACATGTGGTTAAGGTTAAGTGGGTGAGAAGAATGCCAGGGCGCACCGACTTCCTGTAACTTACTGATAACACAGACATACAGTACGTACATTCAACAACAGCTGTGGAGGGTTTGAATGCCCCACTAAAGTACTTTTTTACTGGTATTTTACTGAATACTGAGTGCACTGTCTTGAGTTTTCAACATTAAATTGAGAGGGATTATGTGGAAATTGCAAAATAAGGTGAACAAAGACAAATTCCTCTTCAGCCTCTCCTCTATGCTGACTACATTTTTATTACCAACAGCTGTTGAGATGGAGTTGGACTTACAATATTCTTTTTATTCTGCAATGACTGTGATTTCAGATTCTGTGAACTACAAAAAGTACTTTAGTATTGCAAAAGCATACGCACAAGTACAGTGTTTGCCCCCAATATAGTTTAAAGTTACACATTTTGGTAAATACTTTTGAAAATGTTCTGTTGCCTGCATGGTAAATAAAAAGTTACCACCAATAGACTGTTAGCTTAGCTTAGTATAAAGACCAAACAGTATAACAGCTAGCCTGGCTCTGTACAAAGGTAACATTATCTGCCTACCTATATGCCTAATACAGGTTGTTCCTTGTTTGTTATATTCTTACAAAAAACTGAAGTATAAAAATGACAACCTTCAGTTGTATGGAAGTTAACCCAACCATACAGAGCAGAGGTCATGCAACACGTCAGAGCTAGCCTCTATTCTATTAGCTTCTTTAGAATGGTCCCCCTTATTTAGACATTTGAAGGTAGACAAAAAACATTCTGCAATAAATGTGCAAGTAATTTAATTCATTTCATTTTGTTGAGGCCAGGTGCACTGGCTTCTGCAAGAAATAAGGTGTATTTTGAAAGTACATAAAAGTTACTAATTTACAGAATCAGGAGTCAATCTCAGTTAAATGCTTGCATGTAGAATACACACGTTGTGCCCACATGTACACATGCATATTAACACATGCATACGTATGTCATCACTTTGTGTTTTTAAATATAAAAACACAATTATCCCAAAACACATGCAAATGAAGAAACATCTTCACCAACTTGATGATAGAGAGGTGAAGTCACGCCCATCTACTTCCGGTCCATGGGACCTTATTTCGGAAAAATTATGTATTGAAGTCAATGGAGAGAGAAAACTTGATCTTTCGATCCCGTTGTGCCATGAATTACACATATGATGTTTGTCAATCTTAAAAAATAATTTCCATGTCAAAAAAGTCACAGTTTTTCTTAAAACTGTTGAAATATAAGACTATGACATAGTCTTATATTTCAACAGTTTTAAGAAAAACTGTGACTTTTTTGACATGGAAATTATTTTTTAAGATTGACAAACATCATATGTGTAATTCATGGCNGCTTAATATTTGGAGTAAAAAAACAATCCTGATATCATTAGAAAGCTAGGAATATCCTCTTTCCAGCAGTGTATACAACTCAAAATGTGTCTCCGGGTCAATGCGACTGATTTCGATAGAGCAGGTCACAAATGGTCAATCCCTTCCCTATATTGTGACCACAATAAAAGTTACATGCAGCTTTTTTTCAAATGTTGCAGCCCTATTGTATTCCATACTGGACTTGGATTTGATTCAAAAGAAATACACGTACAAATCAGGTTCTAATGAAAGACATATTGCGTTGCATTATGGGAAATGTAAGTTCTGGCAATGCTACCTTTGACAGTTCTCTTTTTGTAATCCTCCAAGTTTATGCACTAAAATATTTGTTGTTGTAATGTATTTCCAGCTCCCAGATGCATGATATAAAGTTCTAACTAACTAGATCTAGGATTCATTGGATTGAATCAAACTATCTGGTTCCAGCTTCTCACATGATAGGTGCTGCTTCTGCTCGCTGCTGTCTTGTTGCAGTAACTGAATATATCTGGGTTTGGATCTTTAAGACGTCCCTTTGGGCTTTGAGATAATGGGATTAAACGATGAATCGAGTAAATCACTTGATCATTTATTAACACCATAGTTCCAGGCTTGTTCCATCTCCCTTTTGAAGATCCCTAAAATAAGGGTTGTGGTTAATATAAGTTTATAAATGTTTTACATATTCTTCTACAACATCACATCAGTCAGTAAATACCCCATTCTGGTCATTCTGAAGCTTTAACATGTCTTAAAAAGGTGGTTGACTAAACATCAAAATTAGACGACTAAGCTTCATCACACCGAACATTAGCTGCCTTTAGCTTAGCGGTGTTCATGTGAAGTCATGTGACAGTTATGTCGTTTTTTTTTATAGCCTAACGTTAGCTTCTTGCTCTGGTTAGCTGATATACCTGATTAACAAAACGTGTCTCATAAAAAGAGTGTTTGTGTGTTTGCAGGAGATCACCCTGTGGAGGAAGGGCGACATCGTGAGGAAGAGTATGTCTCACCAAGCCATCATGGCCTCGCAGCGCTTCGAAGGCTCCTCTCATCCAGAGAAGACCCCGACCCAGAGCCAGATCCAAGAAGAGGACGGCTAAAGCCCAGCATGCACCTCACCCTCCTGTAGTGAGTGTCTGAGCAAACAGTGCAGGAATTTCCAGCAAATTCTGAATGTAAATATCATTTGATGCAGTGTGAGAGAGGCTTTAAATATAGCTGTGTGTTTCAAGGGAGCAAACAGTCTGACTCAGAATGCAGTTGTGAGTTATTCTGTTTGTTTTAACCACCTTGAAGTACCGGTTTGGTGGAGTTTAGTCTATTAAGACTGAATAGATGAAGAAACTGCACAACATTGACTTTAAAGTGCTTAATTAAAATGTAATGGTGTATATTGTACAGTACAGTGAGACAAACGCACCCATTACATGCACTAAAATATGATTAGCAAATTCAGTTGGATCTATATCTTGAATTGACATGTATGAATACAGTTTGAGAACAACCTCTCCCTTCAAACTCTCAATCTGCTAGACTAAGAAAACTGGAGTGATACAGTGGACCTCGTTAAAGTGGGTAAACAGACGTTACACTACGTTTCTCCTCAAAGGAATGGGACGTTCTGAAATTCATTCATCTTTGATTATGTTGCTGCCAAGTCCTCAGCTGAGAAAATCCCCTTTCTTTAGTTTTTTATTCTAGAAAATAAGCAACGACCCTGATCAAAGAAAAACAAGTATATATAATGATATAAGACTTTTAACATTCTCTAAATTAAATGAATTCCATTCACGTGTTTGTATAGGACGATGCTCAAAATATTTTCATACATTCCAAGGAGTATCTATTTTTTAAGAGAAAATCATTTTATTTTCAACAGCTTTTTCATGTTGGATGTATCTTGCCGTCTGAGGCTGCGGAACACAGCCGTGGCGTTTGTTAGTGCTGCTGGACTCTCTTCCGTCACTATGATCTCCTCTTACAGTTTGCAGCCTGCTTTCTGATTTGCACTATGAACTCATCCTGCTTCTTTCTGCTTTTAGTGCTCTTTAGAAACTGGACTTTATGGTAAAATGAAAATCACATCACTTCAAGTCAAATATGGAAGGTTTTTCTCCTGTGTCTGTGTCGTAGTTAGCTGCTGGGTGCCTAAGGATCTATTGCCTAAACGTGTGGGTGCTTTATTAAAAAGCTTCACGCCCTTTCCCCCTCTCAAACTGCTCATCACTTTAGTTCCTGCAGTCACTTATCATAACATGGGTTTAGTGCCAATAATCTCTTCAAATAATGCTAATGTGAACACAAATGAATGTATAAGAAACACACAGGTTTATTTGTTGTTTCTAGTCGGGGAGATTCAATCATTGAATCTCTATGACATTATTCTTTTAAATGTAATGACCTTTTCTGAAAAAGATTGTCTTCATTCTGAAAAAGAGCACACATGTGAGTAGTAAATGTGACATGCCGTGCAACCTGGCAAAATCCTCTATTTTATATTTCAATCTTTTATTGGAAGTCATTCAGTTTCTTAGCACGTTGTTGCTAAACGCTTCCAGACTGCTGTTCGGGTAAACAACATGTTCTGGCTGAGGAGGAGAGAAAAATAAATTCTAAATAATATTTCGGAGCAAAAAAAACAAAAAACTTTCCCTTGCTTGTTTCTTAACTCAATCCTGATTTCAAGCTGATTTTGTTAGCGGATCAAAAGTTTTAAACTTGAGTCACACGTTTAAAGTTGGAGCAGCTTAGATGATTGCATAATTCCTGGTCAACAAATCAAATAGAGCTTTCTGTTTGCTGAGCGTCAGCTGCTCTCTTTTTGATGCAGAACTTACAGTTGGTACATTGGATGTTTGGGGTGAATACACACAAGAGGACCATCAAATGAGTCCGATGTACGCGTAAGAAAGACGGCAACAATCCCATAAACCTCTGTCTGACAACATGTGTAGGGATGTAAGGTAAATCCCTATACTAACAATAAAGATCCACTGTCTCTCTCCCATACTGAATACATTCTGCATTGTTTCCCCGCCTGACTCTTCATGCTTCATTCTGGCTGTTACCTGCAGTCATACAATAGCACTTCACTGAAATCTGTTGATTACAATTCAGAAAAACAAAACATGTTTGGTGTGTGATTTTAATTGTTGCCGTACTGGTACAGTGACACAGTAACTAAGCTAACCCAGTTTGTAATAGAGCGTAGACCCAGATATAAATAGCAAAGATTTATAAAATGTAAAGTATAAATGCACAATGTAAATGCAATTTTATTCTTTGTTTTTTTTCCTTGTCATATATTATCTCCCTGTCTATAAATGTTGATTTGATGATTTTATATTCCTGTTTTACTTTGAATTAAAAAGGGAGTAACTGAACTGTTTATGATATTTTCTTCTATTCCTGATAAACACATGTATTGTACAGACAACATGAATACATTCAAACTGAGACCTGAACTGACTCAATCAATCAATGTTTATTTATATAGCCCAATATCACAAATGTTACATTTGTCTCAGTGGACTTCACAGTTTGTACAGAATATCAGTATGACAATACGACACCCTCTGTCCTTAGACCCTCACATCGTACAAGGAAAAACTTCCAAAGAAAACCCACAGTTTAAAGGGAAAAATGGGAGAAACCTCAGGGAGAGCAACAGAGGAGGGATCCATCTCCCAGGACGGACAGACGTGCAATAGATGCCGTGTGTAAATCGAAGAGATAATAAGTTAGCTGAATTTTAATGTCAGGTCACTTTAAGCACATAAAACAGATATGTTTGGAGACAGGCCAATAGTTATTGATCAAGTGGCAATAAACCTTGGAGGCTGAGGGAGCAAAATGATATGTCGTTGTGAATTCGTTGAAATCAGACGCTCTGCACACAAACAGATTTACAGTCCAAAAAATAATAAAAGCAGTTATAGCTGTGGGTTAAAGGCATTCATCTCTTCAGACCTTCCTCCATTTCATTTCCATTTCATCGTCAGTCTCACAGATGTGATGAAAGGTCAGTGGCAGTACGCTGCGGTGGAAAGCTAAGGGATTGATCATAGTTTAAAATGTGCTTTCTGAATGAAGATATCAATCTTAAAGATGTTCCTCATATTAAGTAGTAAATAGCCTTATTGGGAACAGGTTTGGATAAGAAGCTTGCCCCCGGTAACTTCCCCCCTGTTTATCTTCCCATACACTTTTATGGAGAGATGAGTGTACAGTGGCTTATAACAGATTTAGTGCGGGCTGCTCTCAGCTGTGACTCTACGGGGCTCAGGCAGACGGACAGATAACTCACAGTCTTAACATTAGAACTTCTGCTGCGTAACCACACCGAAACTCACTCAGCATAGTTCTCCTCTCAAAGGTACAAACAGTACTGTGGTGACAAAGCAAAGCAACATGCCAGCTCACTGGTTTTGGTGACAAAGATGAAAGTAATCACGTTGTTTACCTCCAGTCTGGCCTTCTCTGTTCACAGATTGGTTTTTCTCTACTGGGTCATTTGTCAGAGGTGTTGAAAACTTTGATGACTCGTATAGGCTAAACAGCAACATTTATTTGTGAAAGTAAATCATCTGCCAAAAAAAGCTATTTATTCTTAATTGCACCTCTATTTAGTGTTTATTACCGCCACCAAGAAGGTATTCAGGTGGGTTTGTTTGTCTGTAGGATTAGGGAAAAAGTCCTGGCCCAATTTACAGGAAAATTGGCAGAAGGGTATGACATGGGCCAAAGAAGAAAACCATAACAACTGATTTACACTTTTTTCTTATAACCAAAATAAATGGCCTTGGCTGAGGTTGGAGATCTCTATATGCCTTTTAGTTTGCAGTATGTAAGCATGAATTCAATGTTCATATTACCCTACAGCACAGTTTAAATTGAAGCATCTATAAGAAGTGTATATAACAACAGCTAATGAATGATAACAATGTATAACATAGCCGTAAACGCTTTAATCTAAATTAAACTAGTGTGTTATAGACAATTTATTGAACGTTTATTACTGCCTAAAAATGCATACAGTGTGTGGTATCTACATGAGTGACTACTACTACCGCACAAGGAGCTTTTATGACCCCTGATGTTGTAAATCACCTTGTGGTGGTGGTAGTGCAGGTAATGTAAAACATCTGGAGCATGAATGCAGGACATTACATTACAAACTGAATCAGCACCCAAATTCAAATGAGACATTTGAAAAGAAATCCATTTGAATTTACCACTTTTCCTTTGATTGGATTTCTTCTGAGGGATTCATATATCATAATTGGTATGGGCAGTGGTTCCAAACAATTTTTCTCAGACTCGAACAGCTATGTCAGGTGAACTGGAAACTAATCATAATTTTAAAGTGTGCCTAACCTGTTAGACCCCAAGCCTGTTTTTCAGGTCTCAGGCTCGAAAATGACATTTCCAGAACAAATGACCATAACTACACTTCTAAAAGGGGGAAATCCATAATCTTTTTTCTCAAAGTAATGATAAACCTATGAGTTGGATGTAGAACAGTCAGAATCAATATAGATGTTTTTTATTTTAAAGAAAATTCAGATTGAACATAGTAAAAAACTGTAAATTATAGTGTCCGTCCAAAAATTATTTTTTAATCATAGTGAAAACGACCCTTGGATGATGGTAAAGAAGACTAAAAGCTTTAGGAATCCAAAGTATAACATATAATAAGTACGATAGATCAAGCATGATGCAAAACAAGTGACATTTGACCTTTTAAGAGAGGTTTAGCAAAAACAACTCCACCTCTGGGGCTATTTGGGTGGAAATGGGCGTTTTTGCCGTTTCTCTGGAACCCATTGGTCGATTTTTATGATTGACATCTCTTTTTAACCGCTAGACCCAATCGAGGGAAAGGTCCACATACACACCAACGTTACCAAATAAGGAGTGAGAGTGACGCATAGCCAAAACCGGAGCTGCAACACACACTGGTGGCTGCAGCTAATTTTTATTCTCCGATTTTTGCATAAAAATTGAATTATGGATTATCAATAATTTTTTCAAAGTAACAGACAAATTGGATTAACCTATGGATTAACCTTCAGCCGCTTTTTTTCTCGTTTTAATGCCATTGAAGACGACTTTTGATCAGAATAACAGCTAAGGTGAGCATATCTCCGTGTTTTGCTACCTAAAGCTACGTCGTGTGTTGTCTGTATTTGCTTCCCCTGTCACGAGTTCTGATCGCTCAGTGATTATCCTTATATTTCTATAATCTGTGGACTCACAGGATGTTATCTAAGCTTGTTTGTGCAGATCCAATAAGTATATCGATCGGTATAGCTAGAGTTCTGTGCTAACGGCGTTAAGATTTTTTCGCACAGGGCTAATTCCGAGGCTCAGCGTTGGCCTTGTGTTTTTTTTTGCAAAAAAAAATCATCAGTTAGCTGAGTTTCTTCCCGTTACATGGATATGAAACATTCATAGTATATTAAATCTTAAGAAGCCCTCAGACACTGTTGCTTGCAGATGTTGTGGTTTCGGACCCGCCGAAGGTTCCGTGGGGTCTAAGAGGAACTACTAACAGTTACAAGAGCGACGCTGATAATGATATTACCTTCCAGATCTGGTCAATCTTGCAAGATGCAATTGCAACAAGTTTCAGTTTTGTAGTTGAAAGAAAGTCAAGATGAAAAATGTAATTGTCCAAGCACGTATAGGGCCATGGGGAAAATGTACACCCAAACATCCCTAACACATTGAATTCCACTACTGGCCCTGCCCTGATTTGGCATTAGGGAGCTGGCAGAAGACCATCATTTCTCTAAGCTATTTTTTCCACCATTTGCTCACTTCATGATGAGTTTTCAACTCGTGACAGTGTTGGTCCCATTGTGATTTTGTGATCAAATGGTTTCAATCATCTTTTTTTTTTTAAAGGTGAGCTGCTTGCTTCACTAACTTTAGATGTTTCCACTGGTTACTACAGAGGTACCCCCTGGTTGGGTTCGTTCTCTCTAAAATGGGATGTGGCACAGCACCAACAGAAACACAATCAATGCACTGTCCTTGTTTCACAACCCTGAGGATCAAAGGCTCATCACTGAGCCGTGTTTCCACATCATCTCCAAAGTCCTGGCTCAAACTGGCATGATGGCATCTCAGGTTCACTGTCATGTAAACCTAATAAAAACAAACATGTTCTGAGGTGAGGAACACAGCTGAACTGATCTATTTAAAAACGAATGCCCTATGTTCTTTGTATTTCATGGTTTATTGTGTCTTCTGATGTCATTACTTTTATTTCTTTGTTCTCATTCAGCTCTGAGGATATACCTTTAAGTGACTTCATATGGTGCAATGCGATTAACCTCTAAAGTTATGGTTGTATTACTACAACAGTTTTATACTAATGTTTTGTTTGGATATAAAGCTATGTTACGTTTATGGTAATGTAGCCATAAAAAACAAATTGAAGCATGGTCTGTTCAAAATCTGAACACTTTTAAAATGGATTTAAAAGGTGAGAGTTTTGGTGATGTTTTTACTTTTGGTTAATCCTTTTGGTCCACTTTCTGACATAAAGGTTCATGTTTCATAGGCACGTCCAGTGACATATTATCTAGGCTTTAGTCTCAATTTAGTTTGTTTATACGGTGCAAAAAAATGAAGATCTCTATAAAAATAGGCCGTTTTGAGCCAACAGAAGACACTTTAGCCGATGATAAACAATGTTGTTAGACATTTCTATAAAAGGTTTTACAGCAGGACCATTATGTCATACATTGTATTAGGAGTGATGAGACATAACAATAATATTTAAACTGTAAATAGATGTAGCGGTCATAAAAACCATTGCATCCAAATGCCAATATACATCTCATTGTCTTCATGTAATCTTCTTTTAGAGTCCTTTGTTCCTTGTGAAGCATACAAAACACACAAAGACGGAGACACTCTTTAATTGACTATTTAAAGAAAACATCTGTTCCATTCCCTCTGGTGGAGACAATGATCCAAATTTGCTGCAGCATGTAATGTTCACTTTGGCTAAGTGCGGCTTATGCTACGGTGGCTGACAGGTGCAAACGCGCTGCAACGGCCCAAAACACTTCCATCAGGAGAATGGCGCCGCAGCTTCAGAAACTATGCAAATATAAAAACACTATTAGGCCAAAACACATGCAAATGAAGGAACATCTTCACCAACTTGACAACACATGCGCACCATTAACGAAAAGAGCTGCAAATAAAAATAAACTGCAGGTAAAGAAAAGCTTCAAATAACAAAAAGCAAATAAAGAAATAATGCAAGAAGCTCAAAACACAACGGAAACCAGGGGGCACTAAAATATAATAAAACATATATATATTTTAGGTGACAGTGACAGTTGGCCATTTTTATAATCCCCGAACGTAACCAAGCGCTCGAGTCCCAGCTGTGTGCGTCACTTTTAGTGTCTCATGGTTTCCAATGCATTTTGAGGTGCTTGAAGCTTTTTTTGTTGTTGCGTTTTTTGAAATGCTGCGTTTCTTTAATTGTAGCATTTTCTTTATTCGCAGCGTTCTTTTACTGTCAGCTTTCTTTTACTTGCAGCGTTTCGTTTATGCAGCGTAGTATAGAGGCGAAGTCCCTCCCTTTCCGGGGGAGCTCCATGGGACCTTATTTCGGAAAAAGTATGTATTGAAGTCAATGGAGAGAGAAAGATTCTCTTTCGATCCCGTTTGAATTGTGCCATGAATAACACATATGATGTTTGTCAATTTAAAAGATAATTTTGCAAGTAAAAAA